TGAATATCAGTTATCAATTATCTCCTGTTAATTCCTCTCTTCATGTTCTCCACTGCTTTAACCGAATATTGAACTCATACGCTTTGGGTCCTGTCACTGGATCTAACCAACACCTTTATCCACTGTGCCAGGTGTCCTTATTGTAATAAATATGGTGACAAAGATAAGGACAATAGTCCGAATATTGTAAATAGTGTGCAAAATCCTTTATCCAATTATTAAATACCATAATTAATTCAGATGAAAATGAACATACCATCTGTTGTGACAAATCAAGGAACTATAGCTTTTTTTGAAAAAATCCCGTCCATCAAAAACATTCAAAAACATTAGTATTTTTTATGAGGAGTAAAATGCAAAGTGGCATCATAAAGTTCTGATGGAATAATCAGAACAAAATGTCACCGATTTATATGCAAAGCCTATCCTCAGAGTAAAATTAAAGGAATTTTTCAATACTCTGAATGGAGAACAACCTTGAACTCTCTGCTTGCCACTCCCTTATTTTGCCTATTTTTTTCTTCTGCCCTTTTGTGATAAAAAAAAAAAAAAAAAAAAAAAAATACGTATATATATAAATATTTATATTTGGTTGGATAGATGTGAGTTTGTGACCCTGGGTTTCAAATTTTAGCAATCGTCAGACAAAATGATTCATTTTTAAAAAATTTGGGTTTATGTATTTACGTAATATTGGTTTTAAAAATGAAGTGGTGGGGAAATTTTGTCACTTTACTTCCAATCTTTAAATTTCAACATTTCAACATACAAATGTGTATGCATAGACACAAAACTACCTGTATACATACATATGTCATATCCGAAACTGCCCATATATGTTTATATATGTATGAGTCCCGATATACCAAGTATATATATGCGTCTGCATACATCAATGTTTATTTAGTCCGATGACATAAAACGACAATATTTCCCCACCACTTCCACAATAACACCAATACATTTAATCTACATAAACCCAAATTTTTAAAAAAATTAATCAGTTTGTCTGACGATCGTTAAAAAGTGAAACCCAGGGTCACAAACTCACATATATCCAACCAAATATGTTAGCTCTATCTCTGATATTGAGTATATTTCTAATAAGTATATTTTCATATAAAATATAAATAATTATACATATATATATTTATTTATATTTATATACACTTTTCATATATAAATATTTATATGTATTTTGTTGATATTTATTAACACCAAATAGGCAAGGGTTAAGGGAGAGAGAGTAATGTTGGTTCTAAATGGAAATAACTGCTAACAATTCCCTCTCTCCAAATTTATAGACAAATCCTTATAGATACATGATGTTGTTATTGGGAATTTTATCAATTCCACTTAAAAATGCTTTTTTATTCAATAACACCCAACACCTCAAATGTCTACAAAACAACTTAAAATCTCTAGTCATGTCCTTAAATGGCCTCGTTAGATCAAGGCTCTCATAGGGATATCATGCATGGTGCCAAATTTGTTCAGAAATATCTAAACTGTATACAACTGCTTTCTCTGATTTATAATTAAAAATGGCTTTAAGTTAATGAAGCCTGTAGGTTTTAGCAAAGACCAACTTTCTTTGAAAATAGCTGACCGACACGACAAAATCACATACCAAATGAGGACTTTCAACAATAGAAACAACTAAAATGGATAGCATGTGTAACTAAGAGAAAAATAATAGCACGAGATGTTGATATTCCATACTATTTCAAACAAAAGGCCAGGAAGGAATCTCCCATCTATACTCCATCTTGGGTATGACTATAAACTACATCCAGCAGCAAGGCCTTTGATCAGGAGGTTTTGAGGAACATGCAACCACCTCTAAATTGCTGGTGTCTCCAGGTTCACCGTGACCCAGAATGCTAGCACCTGTTAAGGTCCCAGCTATAGGCAAATAGTTAACCCCCAAAGTGAGTCAAAAATTATGAAAGTCTAAAAATACCAGCAATACATTTTTGGAAAAAAAATATTACCAGCAATAAAAATCTTGTCAGCATTAAAGAAACCATTGAGGTTGATATACCATAAAACAACAAACCAAACCAAACCAAACCCGTCTATACTGGAAAGAGCAATAACAGTGGACTTGAGAAACATATTTTCATGAAAAAGTTGTTTTAAGAGAAAGATTTTTTAAAAATTTCAACTGATGGCTGCTTGGTCAATGAATGCTGAATTTTTCCTTATAAGGAAGCAGTTAATATTACCATGTACAAAATACTCCCTTTCTACCCTTGAGAATGTGAGGATGCTTACTTATGCCTTTCATGTTCAAAGCCACATCAGTATAATGTGTACTTAGTTGATAAGGTAATTCTTTATTTAAAACACAATAATTAGAGACAGCTGCCTAATAACACACAACTACTTCCTTTATCAGATGAACAGCAGCTATGCAATATGACATGGAGTTTATGAGATAGTGCTGTTAGTGTGTGTGTATTCTTCACCTATCAACCAGTTTATACTCCTCCCCTGTTTCTTAAACAGGAGCAGAGGTTTATCCCTTGTTTCCTGTTTAGGATTAGGCTTCCAGTTCCTTCCAAAATCTTTTCATTTTCTTTCACTCCCAATAGCCCTTTGCAGCTTAGTGACAATATCTCCTTGCTTGGAGTAAACTGATTAAAAAAGAAAATACATACACAAAGGTACTTTCAGGGCTGTCCATAAATGAGTTGTGTTTTTTTTTGGTGAGCTTACAAAAAATTTTGTGAGGTCTGCCACATATCCCATTCATGATCAATGGAGTTTTAATCTGGTGAATATGCATAGGAAGGAGTAGAGGTCAGGGGTCAGTTTGGTTTAAATTGTTTTACGGCATATCAACTTCACTGGGTTATTTAATGCCGATAATAATTTTAGTATAGATTCGTATGAATAGAGTATGTATTCTTTGGTTTGGTTTATTTTGTTTTACAGTATATCAACCTCAATGGGTTATTTAATGCTGACAAAAATTTTTATTGTTGGTAATATTTTGATTTGTCAAAAATCTGTTTCTGGTAATATATTTCCTTCAAAATTGTATTGCTGGTAATAATTTTTTTCAAAAAAGTATTGCTGGTAATAGTAAAGTATTTGCCCATAGTTGGGACCCTAACAGGTGCTACCACCCTGGGTCAGGGTGGACCTGGGAACACCAGCAATTAAGAGGTGGTTCCATGCTCCTCAAAACCTCCTGATCAGAGGCCTTGCTGCTGGACGTAGTTTAACGTCTTACCCAGGACGCAGATGTAGTTTAACGTCTTACCCAGGACATGGTCAGTGGTGTATCTGGAAGTCAGTCACATGTTCCAAGCATGTTTCATGTCACTCAAGCTCAATGATGGGACAGAACCAACCATAATCACCAGGGCATATGGGAGAATAATTGCAGGGAGTGGGTATACAGTCTGCAAGAAGATCTGTGTATGGCGCATCTGTCAAGATGGAATCCAGTTTCACTAATGGTGCATGTAAACTCCAGCAGACCATATCCCTCCCCATTATGAAGCCACTACTAGATTGTAAACAAGCTGTTGATAAGCTGGAGCCATAGCGTCATGCAGTTTTCTCTAAACATTTACATGACCATCAGCCCAAAGTAGCTGGAAATGTCGGACCAGGTTACACGGCACCAGTTTTCCACTGTAGTTCTCTAGCTCAAGTGAGGCACAGTAACTAATTCTATGGTTTCAGTAATGGTTCCCTTGTTGATTGATAACTATAAACAGTACAGTGTATTGACTAATATATTGAATGACACCAGAGTGAAATTGAGATGTGGTTTGCTGCAACATTACTCTTTGCTGGTCGTTTGGTTACCAGCCTTGTCTATTACTGGCAGTCCTATTCTAGCATCACCTGTAATTGTTGCATATTGTTGATATTGATGTCTGTCTGGAATCCATATTCATGATATACCTTTGAAATATAGTGCCCTATCTTTCTAGCTCCAACAATTATTTTGTTCTCACATCCTGTCTGTATCCCATAATTGCCACGGCTACACTACCTCTATACCTATTATGTAAGACATGAGTCTGCTGGATGAGTCCATTTTTACAATGTAATGTAGTCTCTCCTTTTTTAGCACTTAAGTTTTGTTACCCTATATTTGGTTTGTCAAAATGGAATGATTGTAATTTTTGTATCTTTTAAATACCAATTCTAATTATGGTAATGTGTAGGTAGTGTAAAAGTTATTGGTATAGAATGTGGAGTTGCTAAGCTGAGTCCTACAAATTCTGGCTAAGACTCTTGAGTTTACTTTGTCACATATGCCCTTGGGAAAGGCATGAAACCATCTCTTCTCCCTCCTCAGCCATGAGTTAAATAGCAGGATAGACTGATCTCTCTAGTCTTAGGTGGCAACCAGTCTAAGAGAAGGAAAAATCTGAATTACAAATCATGGAGAAAGCAATGGGGAACCACTGCATTATCTTTCTAAGAAGGCAAGAAAATTTATAAATAAGGAAAAGTAATTTGTGGAGAGCCACGGTCATCTACAGCCTGAAATAACATGGCATTTTACAAAACAAGACAAAAAACTTCAAATGTACTTACTATCTTTATGATCATTACATTAATGTGTGTGTGATGTGTGTGTATATATATATATATATATATATATATATATATATATATAAAATGGCTGGCTGCTCATTTCAGTGTAAGTCTGTCTATTAAAGTGGTTAACTAATCCTATTGCAGACATCTGCTCTGGCACATTTGGCATTTCTGGTTCAACAACAACCACAGAACCAACTTGTGCTTTATACAGCATATATGCTGAGCAAATTTTAGTTACACTTTATGGGAGAGAGAACACATAATCTACTAATTCTTCAGAAGACTTTAAAGAATATCTACAGAAACTCTTCAAATCTATCAAAATGTCATGTTTCTTTTACAGCTCAACTGAGATGGAGTGTGATCTTCCATTCTTAAATACCGAGTTTTCAACAAGCTTCAAATGCCCAAAAAGAGTTACAACTTACGTTGGTCAATGACAAGAGGTGCATTAGGACCAATCAGCATCGCAACAGCACCAGCACCTCCCGTGCAACGAGCATTTCCTGATGCATACACTGCAATATCTCCGGCCAGAACAACTGCATACCGACCTGAAACATGAATGACATACGTAGATAATTGAGCGTACAAAATAGAACAGAAATGAGTTGGGGGGGGGGCAAGGTAGATATACACTATTTAACCCCCGCCCCCAATTCTTTTGGCAAATGAACATTTAGGTTTCTTAAAAGATTAAACCAAGTAAAAGAGTAAAAAAAAATATATTCAAATATGTGTAAAAATATAAACAAGATGAAATAATTTCAATTTTGCAAAACCAACATAAGCAAGTTTCTAAGTTAATTAATGCCACTTGTTTTAAGTGTATGGATACTGTAAACAACTGAATATGTCCTCAGGTCACATATTAGTTATCTGGACCCTACCCCAGTGTGCTTATTTGGCATGAATTCAAAAGGAGTACTTATTGTCTTTGCAAAATCAAGAAAATATCCTAATGATTTTACAATAATAGATTAAAGAGATGTTGACTGGCATAATATCCTATATATATATATATATATATATATATATATATATATATATATATACACATGGTACATTTTTTATATTTTTAATTTTGCATATGTGTGTTGTTTGTTTTTGATTTTATCAACTGAACAGTATAGTAGGGGTCAGTTGGGCACAGTCTGTGAGAAAAAGAGCACCATGAACCAATTCATTCCATCAGAAATTTGGAAATGGTATGCTATATTGCTTGGCATTCGTGCCGGAATCTCCGATACGACCATTTCAGAGTACTTGGGTGTCAATCTGAGGACAGTGCAGTAGATTCAGAAAGAGTTGGTTGTGTCTAATGGTGATTATGATGGTACAGCAGCTTGGAAAACTCACTCTGATATGAACTCCCAAATTTGTTGGGGAGGGCTTCAAACTGCTACAAAGTGCTACATCAAGTGCCTTGAGGAGGTAGTGCTACCCTGGGTCAAGAGGGTGCCTGTTGAAAGACCTATGTCTGGCAACAGGACTCTGCACCATGTTACACAAACAGGAGAACCCAGTCATGGCTGTCTAGACAGTTTCTGTGACTACATCACCTCTTACATCTGACTGCCTAACAATCAAGACTGAAACTCCCTTATGTGTGGGGTACATTTGAGTGAGAGACCAACAAAACTTCTTGTAACAACAAAGATGAACTGAAGGCAAGGATTATAGCAGCATTCACCAACTTAAACAAGGAGCCTGTCCAGAAGAGTTGCAGGAAATTCTGAAGTCATCTGGAGGCTGTTGTTGAAGCCATTGATTATATTACTGAATAAATTTACTTTTTAGTATTTCAAGATACCTTTGCATAATTTTAGTAAATATATGTTAAAATGAGATGTCAGTGTTATTTTTATGTAATGTAGATAATTTATCCATCACACCCTGTATATTTAGAAACATAATTAACCAAGTAAAATCAAGCACAAAATCAAAATTTCTTTCTACATTTTATCCATATCTCATTCTTTGATGAAGTTTTAATCAAAGTGAAACGTTAGATTGATAAACATTTCCTATTTGTCTTTTATCATATATTGTTGGATTCCAATCCATATTTGATTCCAACTCAAAAAAATAAGAAATAAATAAAAAAATTTCACAATATTATATTGATTCGATTGGTTGTTTTTGTTTAGCGGTATATCAATCTCTGTGGGTTATTTAATGCCAAAAATCTAAATATTTTGTACATGATTTAATTTTTAGAGATAATAATGGTTTGTTGATACAAGTCTCACTAATTAACCCATAGCGGTGGGGAAGAGGTGAACATAACAAAACAAACTGGAATTGAAACTTGTCTCACTGATTAAAAATTCCGAGCCATTATTCATTACACCACCTGCAAATCCAAGCTTACAAGCAGGTATTCCCAAGCAGTTACTCGTCTAGGTGCTTGATGTTGCTTAAATTTGGTAATCATACAGGAACCTGTGTTTCAACATGTGCCACAATATTATACAGAGCCACCATCAATGACCAAGTCAGAGTCAACTGCCATAAAAATTGACAGTGTCATTTTGATGTTTTCTTCATGTATCTCAAACAGAATATTGGTAATGGATAATGTCTTGGAATGAGAAATCTGAGAATTGAGTTTGAATTCCAGTTAGGTTCATTACATTCACTTACATGCAAATATCCTTGGGAAATAAAGATATGAATCCATATCCTTCCCTGAGTTATGTGTTAAATAGTATGATTAGCATTAAAAAAAATAATAAATAAATAAAGAAAGAAAGAAAAGAATTATTTTTACAATTTGAAATATGTTTCATCTTTAAACAACCCAAATGATTGATAAGCCTTAATGAACAAATCAGTGATTTAGACAGACCATAGTGAAGCAAGTATCTCGTTACTAGGATTGCAAATTTAGTTTTCCTTTAAACAATAAGTTCTGAGCTATGTGTTGAAAGATACATTCAACACGTTTTGAATGACTTCTGTGGTCACATTTGGAATTAACTCATTCCATGCTTCCAAGATCCAATTAACAATGATATGTGGTGAAGTCTTAAGTTTCTCAATGGAGTTTTCTGGTTTCTTCATTCCTCAGCAAGCTATTGGCCACGTTTTACTGTAGATCTCGCCTTGAATGGATTATTTCAGCTCATATCTGGTACTTCTACACATTTAGTACAGTCCCCATGTGTGGAAAAATAATATTATCAACCTATTTTAAATGGAATGATGCTTTGATACTAATTTCAAAAGTGAAATTTGCAAAAGTCCAGAATTAAATGATTGATAACGAAAAGAAAAGGTGCCAAAAATTTTATTCAGCCAGACAAGTTTAGCTTGGTATTCTATTGGGAATAAATGTAATAATTTTTAAGTTATTATTGTATTTGTTGGTTCCACTCCATGTGGAATGACCATTAAAAACATCCCCCACCCCCTCCCAAATTTATAGAAAAATCCTACAGATATATGTTGGAAGTTCCTAACCAATAAAATAATCAACCAATTCTTGGTTTCATCCACCATTATTTTTTTTTTGTTCTTTCTTATCTTGAAGTAAGAACACTGCATTCACATGATTCTATCCATTTTGCATGTGAACACATTTCTTACTTTGTGAACATTATTATGCTTTATTACTGTTGCTTTGTCTAGTTTTGATTTGCATATATGTCCTGTTATTTTTCTTACTTTTCTTATTTTTATTGAGCTTTTTGACATTTGAAATTACTACACAGTAGTTGTTTCTCATTTTGAAAACAATCATTGCAGGTAATTTACCACCATCTGCTTTTGCTTCAATAGACACAAAAACCCACAAAGATTTTCATGACCAGCTGGTTTAATGATAAGAGTTTTACTCCCACAGTTTTATCTGTTGTTGGATCTGATACAATGTTGGATCAAACAGGTGTTGTCCATAGCAATTATGTATTTCTATTTTGAAGACAATTGCCAAATTTGTAAAAAAACAAGTTGATCTAGATCTTTTGGGGTGAAAGATGTTTTTCAGTTTAAAAATAAGGTATTTCGTAGCATAAAGTTATGCAACCAAGCAAGAAAAACCAACATTCAACTCATTCTTGAACTGCAATTGATGTCATCTCATCATACAACACATTGTTTTTTTCCATTTTATATGATACCCAAAGTTCTTTCTAGTGTCAACCATAATCTCATGAACATGGATTCATCCAATCTTTCACTGAAGGGCTTTCTATTGGCACCATCACATTGCTTTTGTTATTTACCATTAACTTTTGCTGCCACATTCAAGATTTCTTCTGCCATTCTTAGATGAAAGCTTTGGTTAAGCGAATTGAATTAATTGGTAGTTGTGAGTTCAATTCCTGGGTCAGGTAAATTAAAATTCATATAATAATTTGCTGATTCAGTGGAAAAGACAAGTACTATCACAAGGACAAATTAATAGAGATCTGGATGGACAATGGAAAGAGTAAAATTTACATCAGGCATATGCAACCTTCTTCAAGCAATGGGCCACATGATCTATAGCTCATCATAAAGTGGGCTGCACTACAGTGAAGACTCTAGGTAATTTTTGTAGTAGGTACCAGTTATTTTCCCTACAGAAAACCATATGTGTAAGAATATAGCTTAGAAATAGGGAAAAACTTAATTCTTTTTACTTGTAGAAAAGATTTTTTTATAATTAAAAAACTGAAATCTTGGAATAATATTATCACTGATGATGACAGTGTGATTAACATGTGTTGCTGTATGTAATTTATTTCTAATTTATACATTTGAAAATAAAAACTATTTATGTCTTCTTTAGATAAAAAAATTCTTATGAATGGTTCCTGTTTCAAAAGCAAAATAGGTTTACATGTATGATCTTCCTTAGTGAAAATCACTAATGGTTTAAAATGAAAATTCAAGAAACATTGTACTTAATCATTGTTTATGTATGGGGTTATATGTATGAGAGAATGTGTGAGTGAACAAGTGAGAAGGAAACAAAATTTTAAGAAATGCTATTTTCCTTATGAAATTAAGTGTACCATTCAGAAAGACCAAATGGCTTGCATGTGGTCTGTGGATTGCAGTTTGCTGCTGAATAATCTACATCCATTGATTGAATAAAGAGTTTAATTCAAAATTCTTGGAAAGTTAACAACTATGACAAACACCTAAAGAAATAGAAAGTTGAAGTGTTAATTTGTTACAACCAACATGAGAACACTAGACTGTGTAAATAACGATAATTCCTCATTTGAAAAATTTAGACAAAAAGCAATTAAGTCATTAACTCTATTAGCTCAATCCTTTGTTCACTTATTCATTATCACAGCTGGTTCTTTGCCATAATTTGAAACCTTACAAGGTGGAATGATTATTCACAAAATTAACTTATTTTTTTCCTTTTGATCAACTCACCCCAAGCAAAGTGATAATATCACTAAGATGCAAGAAACTATTGGGAGTGGCAGATACTTTTTAGAACGGGGGAAATTTTTTTATGAGTGCAAGGGCCACATTCAAAATTCACAATTTTATTCTAATAAGATAATATATTAAACACAAAGTAGTAATATTAAATGTGATGAAATTAATATAATGAATATTATTAATGATAACACTTTTAATCTGCATAATAGCCTTTTAAATAATGACAATAGGCATATGAAAGTTACTCTAAAGTCTAAGCTAATAGGAGTTGCTAGGTAGCTAATTTCGGACGACTATCGCGAATTTTAAACCTACATATGGCATATAAGACGCAGGAGAATTTTAAAAGATATTTTTATTTTTTTTTTAAAAAAAAAAAGTGTCCCTTATATACCGTCAAATACGGTAATTCAGTTTAAAGGGAAAAAAAACTTAATGATATTTTGAAGTAATAACTTCACATAAAACAGATTTATTTGAAAAACAAAGTAACTCAGCAACAGAAGAATCTCAACGACTCAACGAGAATAATGTATCTGACTGCAGTCATTTATCAGTTTGTTAAAATTAGGTGTCAAATTGCTTGTAACAATTATTTGACATTGCTTGGTAACTTTCTCTTTCAAATTTACTAACATTTGGCGGGCCGCATGTGGCCCACCCCTGCTTTAGAAGGAACTAAAAACCTAATCCTAAACAAAAAAACAACCTCTAGTCCTGTTCAAACGAGAGAGGAGTGTGAACTAGGTGGTAGCCAAACTTATCTACTCTTATTAAGGAAAAATAAATAAATAGTAAATAAAATTCCAGAGATTAAGCAGATGTAATTTGAAAAGGTTGATCATTAAAATTAATAGACACAAAATGTCTGTTGTTTTTAATATTTGCCTTAAAGAATATTTGCTGCTTAGATACACAGAAATATTTATTTATATACTTACAAACTCATATGCAGACTCATGCAGGTGTAAGGTTAAAATTAAAATCATTTCAAATGATCAAAGAAAATTCTTCTGTTAAGAATAAAAAAAGGATATCAAATGAGAAGCATCTGTTTTTGGCAGAGAAAAAGGAAATATTCATGTTTCAAATATACAGAACCTCTTTGATTTGAAAAAAACAATTCTTCTTTGTTCTATTGTTTCAGAAAGCAAGTGATGGATATGAACACCTACAACTTATATTTATTTATAGTTTTTTTTTTTTTTTTTTTTTTATTCGGTAGATCATTATTATTATTATTTTGATTAAAATGAAAGATATTAAATAAAAACTTACAAAAAGATTAGAATTTCAGATCTGAGCATTGGGAGAAGCTTAAGAAATTTAAGGAGTGGTAAAACCACTGAATATTGAGGGAGTATTGTGATGGGTGGGAGGGGAGAGAGAAATTGTTACAGGTGTATGACTTGAGTGGAATTATGAACACATGCATGACAATATATTTTAAATTGAATGTGCAGTGACTGTAAATAAAGCCAGAAAATGGGGTGCGAGAGATGACCCACAATACATATGATTCATTGCATATAAGCGTCACTTCAAATGTTTTGACATTTCTGTCTCTCTTTCATGTACACGCTAAACATCTAACTAGACATGATGAAATTTGACAGGAAAACATCTTAAAGGACGGGAAGATCAATTCAATAAAAACAAACAAAAAAAAAAAAAACTTATTGGTCTCTCTTCAGAGAGATATTTCTATTTCCCTGTTATATTAAACACATAAAATTTTTAACATGAAAAGATATTGCGCAAAAAGCCACTTATATAATACCAGGAGTAATCAGTGAATCATAGATATGATTGAACATATAAAAAAAATATATATATATATATGATAGAGATATAGATAGATAGATAGAGATAGAGATAGATATAGATAGATATAGATAGAATGTCTAAAAAAAATATGAAGAACAGATTAATTAAACACTTCATTTAGCTTCTATTTTAGTTGTGAATTCTTTATCTCCACTTTATTGAATCTCAAAACATTGTTTCAAGACTTTTGTTTCATTACATCTCACAATTAAAACTTTCTAACAATTTCCATCATTTTTAACAGCACGACTATATTAGTATATTCAGGAATAAGACCAGTAGGCTCTAAAAACTTGTTAATATATATTCATTCGTTACAATTTACTCATTCACCATAAGAATCTATCACCATTTGCTCCTACATACACCAAAATACCTCACACACACACACAGGGCCCCTACCAAAAAACACTGTGACTTAACATTTCAATAGTAATAATAGTATAAAAATTCCATCAATGTTATGAAATGATGTGTGGGTGGGGTAATGACACCAAAAACAAACTGAAAAAGGAAAGATGTTAGTAAGACCTGTCCACCTCTCAAAAATAAGAGTTGCTGCTGTATTCTGTTTTTTGACAAAATCAAGAGGCTGGGGGGGGGATAAAAAAAACAAAAAAACCTTGTGTCTTAGTGTCTTTATTAACATGCTTGTGGTGAAATGATTAAAAATAAAAACCTTTTGACTTTATGCTAGCACAACCATTGGTGCCCATCCTGGGTATGATGATAAACTACGTCCAACAGCAAGGCCTCTGATCAGGAGGTTTTGAGGAGCATGGAACCACCTCTTAATTGCTGATGTTCCCAGATCAATCCTGACCCCGGGGTGGTAGCACCTGCTAGGGTCCCAGCTATGGGCAAATAGTTAACCCCGAAAATGAGGTAAGAAGCATTATGGAAGTGTAAAAATAGGTACCTCCACGAAATCGCTAAAAAAAGAGCATAGCTTGATGAAAAAGACGCCAAACTTGTCGAAAACTAAATTTTATTGTCTAAATGCTTATGTTATTATTAAGAGGAAAGACCAAAGTTTTTTTTAATTATTTTTAAAAAATTTTCCTTCTTTTTAGAACATTCTAAATTTTGATTAAAAAAAACTTTTTCCTATTTGTATCAGCGGAACTAGTAAATAACAGACAATTTTTAGCACGTTTTTTTGGTATGACACACATTAATTTGAAAAATCGTGCAAAAATAGAAATAATTATCGGATGTTAATGAAAGTTTCAGAAACTATTCACAGATGATCGAAATTATTATAAATATGTTTTTTTTTGAAAGTCATGGTAGAAATATTTTTTTAAAATATTTATTACCCCCATAACTAATTTTATGAAAATGCTAGAAATTCGATCGCATCGGTTTTAGTGATTACAATAATTAAAAGCACAGGGCTTTGAGGAATGCAAATCATGTTTTTTTTTTTTTTTAATTGGATACGCAGTACCTGAAAATCAGCTCTGAATTGTAACATACAAAACTCAATAAAACAAATATATTATTTAATTTCAAATGCTTTTATTTGCTTTTAGTTGTTTTTATGAATATGGACAATATATTCTGAAAACAAAAAAAAATTTTTCGATGAAAAATGAATTTTTAATACAATTATTTGTTATTTCATTAATTATAATAGATTTTACATTTAAAATTGTTAAAATATTATAAAATTAGTTAAAAATTGTATGCATCAGAAGATCTTTCATAAGTGTCCTTATGAGATAGATCTTTTTTAGCGTTAAGCATTGTTGTAAATTGTATCATTTTGACTAATCAGTTTTATTTTAATTTCTTTTTTAGAATATATTTCCCATAAAGCATCAAATAAAATAACGTAAAGGTGAAAGCTAAGTACAAAAAAAAAAAAAAAACAGTTTTATTTAATTTCTTTACAATATATTTCCCATAAAACATCATAAACGTAAATTAAACCGCTGAAAGTTTTCGTTAAAAATAACGGGGTAAATAATTTGTTCACGTAAATGTAAATTATTTCACTTTTCTCCTTCCAGAGAACAAATTAGCCTCATGGAATTCATGGAAATATATCATTCATCACATGTCAAGAGATGCGAAAGTTTATGACCTGCTTTGTTTTATTTTCAAATTACATCTTTTTGGCACAAAAGCTAAGTTAAGTTTGGTTCAAAATATTTTAAATAAACATTATAATTTCTGATTTTCTTAAAATAAGTTTTGAAAAAATGATAATTGATATTTAAAAAATTTCAAAGTCAGATTTCCAGTTTTTTTTTTTAAATGGAAAAAAAATGGTCAATTTTGCTGACTCAAAAAAAAAAGATTTTTAACGAAAATTTCGGACGTGCTAGGAACGATTAAAAATGGAAAAAAACCCCCAAAAATACTTTGACCTTTCCTCTTAATAATAACAAACATTTAGACGATAAAATTTTGTTTTCGTCAAGTTTGGCGTCTTTTTCATCATGCTATGCTCTTTTTTTTAGCGATCTCGTGGAGGTACCTATGTAAAAATAAGTTTTAATACCAGAAATACTTTGTAAAAAAAGCAATAGGTTTTAAAAAAAAAAAAAAAAAAATATTACCAGCAATACATTTTTAAAATAATATTACCAGCTATACATTTTTGAAGAAAAAAAACTATTACCAGAAATAGATTTCTGACGAAACAAAAATATTACCTGGAAAGAAAAGAAAAAAAACAAAAAAAAAGTTGTCGGCATTAAATAACCCATTGAGGTTGATATTGCCGTCAAACAAAATAAAACATTTTTGAAGGAAAAATCTTACCAGAATTAGATTTTTGACAAAACAAAATATTACCAGCAATAAAAATTTTGTCAGCATTGATGCATTCTGAACAGTTTTGTTTACCTAATTTTGTTCATAAGCCCTGTGTCAAATCAACCTGTAGTATGGTCTTGAGACACTTCCCAACAGCCCCTCATATTGGGCTTGACTCTCTAGGCAGAATAATATAAAGAAGTCACCTCCTTGAGAAATTGGTCACAAGATTTGAACATGTTCTCATGGTTGAAATGCTAACATTCTAACCACTTGACCAAAATATCAATGAGCAAAATAGTAATAAAATGTGAATTTGTAAGAAACATGGCCATAAAAAAAAAGTTATTTTTTTTTGTTTTTAAATTTTCAAAAAGACAGAAAATACTGACCATCCCAAGCAGAAGACTCAACCCAATTGACAGCATTAAAAAGTGCAGCAGTTCCACCATAACAAGCATTTGTTGTATCAATCCCTTCAACCGAGCTGTTTCCACTGGCTTCAAACAACTGCATCAGAACAGTCTTTACACTCTTGGATTTATCTAAAATAGTTTCTGTGCCTACCTCTAAGCGACCAATATTTGAATATGATAAATTATATTTCTCCATCAATTGCTGGAGAGCAGTCAAACACAAAGAATTAATATCTTCACGGTCTGAGCAGAAACCCATGGCAGACTGGCCAAGACCAACTGTATACTTCCCAGAGGAAACACCATCGAAAGCTTCAAGTTCCACTTGGTCCACATAGAGAGCAGGAAAATAGAGTTCCATGGCTAAAATCCCAACATCTTCAGGTCGGGTATTTGGGTGTTTTGACGAAGAGGCAGGCATTGTATTTCATGTAAGAAACAAGCCTAGAAAAAAAAGATAAGAAAAATATGATGAATACAATGATAGATGATTGCATTTTTCTAAAATGTTATTGTCATAAATACTTATGTAGAGATTGTCCCCTACATCCCAAATTTTGATTAAATTATCAATATAAATACATGTCCCTTTCTCTTTAATGTACACACTAAATATCTGACCAGACATGATCAAATTTGGTATGAAAACATCTTAGGATGGTGAAGGCCAATTCAATATTTAATGATGTAATAAGAGAGATTTTCCATCTGTATTTTATAGCCATGGAGGGCATGAGAAGTTTATTCAGTCATTAAATTAAGAATTATGATTCACCAGAAAATCAAAATAGGAAAAACATGAAATTTTAATGAGTTGCCATATTGGTCTAACTTCATTGTTTAACAATAAATATGTACATTATAATTCAATTTGTTCATCCATTAGCACATGTGTTATACCCTGCCATTACCTCAGATAAATAATGGACCATACCATTTTGATTGCAAGGAAAGAGGAGAAAACAGAAAGAGGTTATACCAGAGACACTGTTTAGTTTTAGTGAGATAAAGAAAGTATACATCTGTGGAAACGACTCCCAAGAGGATGCTTCTCCGATCACTACAATCTTAACTTGTTCAAGTCTAGGTTTAACTGTTATATTCCCCCCATACATCGTATAAACTGTGCTTCTTACTCTGTAAACCTCTACCTTGAGTGGCCCCAAGACCTTGTACAGGGTGAACCTCATTGTAAAAAAAAAAAAAAAAAAAAATAGAAAGGGAAGATGATTGATTTCATTGTTTGTTTTCAACAGATTATCAACAATTTTCTTTGAGTGGAGATAATAATGGTTTTGTGATACAAGTTTTACTAATCCATAACCAGAGTTTATTCATATTTTTCCCAGGAGTATCTGTGTGTAAGTGAATATAAGAAACCCAACTGGAATTGGAACTTAGCTCCCTGATTAACAATTCTGAGCTAACCACTACCAGCACACAGCACATCCATACTTAGTGTACCTGGTATTTCCAAATGGCCACCCATCAAGGTATTGACCAAGCTTGACATTGATTAATTTTGAAACTGGTGTATTAATGTGATATAGCCCTGAGCACAGGTAAGATAGGTGGTAAAGTATTTAATGTCTACTTCAGTGAAATTGAAAAAAAAAACCTTGTCAATTTTTAATCTTTTCATTTGTACCCTTTTACTTTAAATAATCACCTGCATTCATATTTATGATTGTCATTGGAAAAATTTTGTTAAAGTCATTATGCTGAGATATTTAATGAGGCAAGAGAAGGAATTTCCTTGGGTGTTATTATATTTGATGAACTCACAAGGAACTTATTCAATTATTAACTTATGATTCATCAGAAAATACAAATAAGAATATACATTGATTATAGAAACATAAATTATCATTATTCAGTAACCTTTAACAAAAATTATAAAAGGTCACACATACCTCACCCATTTATACTTGCTGAAGAAAGGAAGATCAACCAACATGGACAAAAATGCCAAGTTGAACTCACAGTGAATCACTTTTAACTTAATGTACTTACTTAGCTCCTATAATACATAAATACTAAGGAAAACAACATAAGAAAACTATTTGAAAATACCGAAACTGTCAACATAATACCCTACCTTAAAGAAATAGGTTTATGAATAAAGACAAAAAGGAAAACTGATGTCTTTCATCCTCTGATAGACTTCATCAAGGCAAAAGTGAGAATTTTATTTTGCAACAAGTATTTATTAACAAGATAAAAAAAAATGTTAGCTTTTCAAAATTTTAAATTTTAAGAAATGATAATAGATATTCATCAGGTTAGATGGAAAGTCCAGGTAAATTATGGAGGATGCTAAATAGGTCTATGTCAAAACATAGGACACCTAAAATAGGCCATCTACAAATTATATAACTATAAAACATATGTTTACACTGAAAATATAAGATTATGTACAAAATATATCATGTCTATGTTCAATGTCCAAACAAACCAATATTTTTCTTGGTTTGAACTTTTCCATTTCAACTTCATGTACTCAGGATTATTTCTCTTCAAACTTTACTCCTCCATTTTGTGTCTTGCCCACAGGAATATTCAACTAGAACTCTGTTGGCCCCCAACTATATTTAATTTGTTTACGCTCCTGATTGCCCACACCCTTCTATAATTATAATTTAGCTCTCAGACTAATAAAAATTTGATACATCTATTCTCACTGGTTTCAAACAAAATTCTGACTTCCCCCATACATGGGTGTCATATTTTTTCAAAAAAAAAAAAAAAAAAAAAAATATTCATCCTTGCTGATTCTGAATACAGTGACCCTATGACCACACCCATTCATGGGACTAATGATGATGGCTCTGAATACTGTAGTGCAGAAGATAGCAGTGTTTAACTTTGCTGAACAAAATGCCTATGCTTTGAACAGCCAAACTATTTACATGACCTGGTAAGCACTCCATGAAAGAGGGTGTAAATATCTTTGGGAATGATATGAATCCAACTCTTCTCCCCCCAGATATGGGTTAATTAGTAAGACTTGTATCACTAAACCATTATTATTAAGAAAAATAAATTATTATCTGAAAACGTGATTGCCCAATTTGCTAATGAAGCAAACTATACATCTTGGTCAGGCTAAGCTTAGCCAACAGAACAGCATCCTTGTGCAATGAGAAACTGGGAAAAAATGGCAAATGTGTCACAGTGGCTTGAAATCAGTCCAAGAACTGTAGAATGTTTTTATCACATACTAGCAGTAGAGCCCAGCGTTGCCCGGGGATGTAACAATAAGAGATAGATCAAGTATCGACCATCATAAAGACTAAAAAATAAAATTAACAGATTATTGTTTAAGGTTGACGGACACGCATGTCTTAATTTTTTTTTTTTTTTTTTTTTTTTTACAAATTGGTCAAAGCCAAACTCAAACAAAAACATTGCTTTCAATTGTTATGAGTCTATCAAATGAATAGAATTTTATTATAAACAATTGTCTTGTAAATCGAATTTTTAAAGCATTCTGAATGTAAAAATAAAGAAAAAAGTGTGCAAGACAATAAGAAACACTACCTGCCAAAAAAAAAAAAAGAAAAAAAAAGTGAAATTTTGTTGAAATCTGTTGAAAAATGTAGGAAATCCGATCCCATATATAAAGGAACACACACACTCACACAAACAACCTGCCTTTGATAATAAGTATAACTCGATATGAGTTTTCCCCCTTTCATTCTGGCGACAGAATCGTGTTTTCAAATTAATTTTGTGCAAAAACAATTGTATTTTTCCAATTTTTGGCACTGTCAGAACCACCGCAAGGTAATTTTACGTAGTCCTGTGAAGTTTTGTTGAAATCGGTTGAAAAATGTAGGAAATCCGATCCAATATATAAACGTACAGACACACACAATCCGCGTTTTATAATAAGTAAGATTTTTATAATGGCAGTCAGAAAGAAGCTGCTTTTTAACAGTGAGTAATAAACATGGGGAAATTATAAAATTTTTGGACTTTTGAAATAGTGCCATTTTTTTTTTCTTTTTTCAAAAGTGTATTTTTAAAATTTTTTTTATAGAGTGGTGAGTAGATTTCTCATGACCGGTATCCTTTGACTGCAGCAATCAACCGGGGGGATGATTTTCAGTTTATAGTGAAAGAAACAATTTGGAACACTGGTTGTCCAAAGCTTCTTGTCAATTCAGTAAAATATATATCCATTTTGTAAGGACTTCTAATATTTATTGATAATTACTTTAACAAAAATGTCTTTTTTCATGAAGCATAGAGCTCTATACCACACTGCAAAACAATTTGAGAATACAAAAAAATAATAAACCAAAACTTAATGACATTAATTTTATTCTTGTGCATTGTTAAAAAAAAAAAAAAAGAAAAAAAGTTTGGCCTGGTCATATATCTCCCAAGATAGAAGATCTGATAAATTTGATACTTGTGCAAAACCATTTAAAGTTGTTATTGAATAATTGCAGTTGAAAATAGGAGATAAAATATATGGACGATCCTATTGTGTATTGGAAATCCGATCCCATATATAAACGAACACACACACAAACAACCTGGGTTTTATAATAAGTATAACTCGATATGAGTTGTCCCCCTTTCATTCTCGTGATGCCTCTTAATCGTGTTTTCAAATTGATTTCATGCAAAAACAATTGTGCTTTTCCAATTTTTGGTGCTGTCAGAACCACCGCAAGGTAATTTTACATAGTCCTGTGAAGTTTTGTTGAAATCGATTGAAAAATGTAGGAAATCCGATCTAATATATAAACGTACAGACACACACACACAATCTGCGTTTTATAATAAGTAAGATTATGCATGTGTACAGTTACTTATATGAAAAGTATGTTTATTCATTAGTTGGAAATACAATAAAATAAAAATTTGGAAGTATATGAATATTTGTCAACCCCCCCCACAGCTAACACACACACACACACGAAAAGACTTTCAGCATGAAAGCCTTGGCTGCGAATTGCTTGAGGTGCTCCAAGGTCACTACTCCATGGCATACACTTCAGCTAACACCATCAAAACAGGCAGGTTCATCATGATAACATGCATCGGACTGCTGACTTGTTCTTGTATGTAAAACGTTGTCTTGACTTC